CTGCGACGTAGCTATCGCTCAGCTAAATGCAGCCGGCGTCTTCTGCTGCAGTTCACCCAACGGCCACAATCAGGAATCAGGATTCATTTATTGCCAAAATATGTCAAACATACAAGGAATTGGCGGTTTGCTCCAAAGGATTAGTATCTGTCATCATAGCTCCATCAACCAGCTCCGGCCACCAGGGGACAGAAGACCAGTTGCTCATCTACACGTCCAACGCAACTGAGGACCAGTAGTCCAATATTTAATCCCCATTACGCTCTGGTTGGGTCTCTTCCCACTCACATGTCTTGCATCTGACATGCGTTTGAGTCTCCCCAATGTAGCATCCAGAAGCTCATCGGAACATGAAGGTTTTGTCTAACGTAGGGAGGGATGAACTTGGTTACGTTCTGTATAATAAGCCATTTTCTTCACAGGAACTAAGAGTTACTGGACTGCAAATGAAAATCATTTTGTAACACTTTGGAAAGCTCTGAACCGCCGTATGTACCCACGTCTCTTTTAATGTGGCCTCATTACGCGGCACAGAGCTCACTCGCACGCTCCACTCCGGAGAGACGTGGCGCCGCTGAACCGACCTCTCCGTGGACCCGAGTGCCCACTCACTGCAGTTGTGGTTAAGTTGGTCGAGTTTCGATTCACCACATGGCGTGGGCAGAGAAGTGATCGGATTTAATAAAGCCAAAAGGTGGAGGGGGGGGGGGGGGGTTCTTCTCAGTAAGGCACACGCGTGTGCTTATACCCAATAAGCAGCCGGGTTTTTCCTTTGCATGAATCACAGCGCTGCGTTAACCACCAGTAGTTCAACACACCGTCTCAAGCTGAAGGCAAAATCCTGAGTTCCCCCCCCCGATGACAGCTCGATGGAGCCGTGTAAAAGCCGGCATTACCGTTACATAATGTGCTTAGTGGGATGGAGGGAGGGCAGAGGCGGAGTTCGGCTCTGACTAACTTAACTACACTCCTGTTGAGAGGCCCTTCCAGTGAGAACAACCGACAATGTGAAAACGGGCCCCAGTTTGGTTTATTCTCAGGAACAACGTGGGAAACACGGCGAGCCATTATTACTCCTAGTAGGATTCCTCTGCGCTAACGGGAACCATTCTTCGGGGGACGCCTTCCGGTGGACTGGTGGGGCACTTCTCTCGGAAGGGTCGGACGGGTCTGAGAGGCAACAAACGGCTCAACTTCTGCCCACAAAGGAGCTGGTTTCCAGGGGGGGGGATCATCCATCCCATCCATCCTCGTGGTGGGCGCAGTGTGGGTTACTTCAACGTAACGATTGGGGTGGTGCACGCAGACGTGTTAAATCCTTCATCTCTATTCCAGACATGGACGTGGATGGGCGCAGAGCGGGGAGGCACTTTTAATGAAATCTGTTTTGCGTGACGGGGATCTGCAGAGAGGGCGTTCGCCGCTCGGTGAGACTGTGGCCGGTCTATTTAGCACAGATTACAAGAGAAAAACTAAATCTGTATCAGTCGCTCTGACATCGCGTAATCTACGCTCATCTGAAAGTGCTGAATAATCGGGGTCAATAGACAGAGAGCATCCAACAAATACATCTGATGATCTGGGAATATCCTGTTTGCGTATAAAATAGTATCCTCGAAATAGCTCGCCAGCATCCTCGATGAGAACGACTGGTCTGGTTGTGGTGACGGCTGGTGCTGAGGAGATAGCTGAATCCTGCCGGAGCGAGACGCCTCGGAGGAGGCCTGCGTGTGCATACATTCCCCAAACAGCCCCCTCCGTCCCGTCAACTCGCAATGCCTCCGAGGCTTATCTCCCAGAAACACAAGGCCCCCCCGCGCCGTCACCCGGGTCGCTCCTCCCGGCGGCGGGGGACGCGGCCCTCCACACCCACTACGGCGGCAGCCGCGAATCCCCGTGGCAGGAGATCCGGTTGTCCAATTGGGTTTTTTTTTTTTTTTTTTTTCCTCAGCCCTCCGCCCAAACCCACCCCGGCGTTTGCCCACCCACCCTCTCGGCGGGGGGGTGCCCGGGACACTTGGTGGGTGATGCACTTTTCGGTTTCAATTACAATCAAGGTTGAGTCACAATGAGTCATAAAGGGCTGCTGCTATGCAGATGAGCCAGCAGGTTGTTAGCGAGGACGGAGACGTCCCAGTGTGATTGGACCCCCCCGGACACAAGGAGGCATGCAGATACTGGATCGAGTCCCGCTGGACCAGGAAGAGCTAATTTGGGTCAAATCACAAACAAGAGGGACGTTCGTTTCTCTCACTTTTAACGCACCAACGGGGGAGAAGGTTCTACATTCTGAAAGCCGCTTCCCCCCCCCGTTTGGATCACAGCGCCGGCGGCTGGTGGGCGCCACGTCTGCAGAACTCGTGTTCTCTTTGTTTCCAGCTGTCCTTCGGCCCCGTCGGTCACCGCGGAGAGAATCCTTTCACGGCGCGTCGGGGTATTCATGAAGTCACTTCAGTCTTTGACAGGAACGAGAACGAAGACAAACAACGGAAAAGCTTTCCTTTGCGCGAGTATTTTGTCCTCCGTCCAAAACGCACGCAGACGCAAAGCCACAAAGCCACGCGCCTCTCGGTGGGCGACTCGAGGAGTCTGCAGAAGCGAGCGCGGTCCCGGTGACCCGGTGACGGTGGCGCTGCTCCTACGCGGCGTGCAGCAGGTCTTAGTAACGCGGCCTGAGGGCCCTTCCTCCAGTATTTTGTAGATACGCTTCACGTGTCTCCTCCCAAACTCCCTCGGCGGCGGCGGCTTGGGATTATTCGGGACGTTGCATCAGACCCAAACAGCCACTTGTTATTTACTCTTTATTTATTCATCTATTTCCGTCCCTGCGTTCATTAGTCATCAGCAGGAGGTGATACGCATGCAGATGACTCAGACTCTGCGGAACCCAAATAATTGTTTTTTTGTTTACAATTCATTGCTACCATGGTTACTAGGACGCTCCTTCCTCCTTTGGCCTGTTTTTTTTCCGGCGGGGGGGGGGGGGCAGACATGGCAATCATCCTGCCTTACTGATGACTCTTCAAGTGATTGTAAAATCATTAAGACGATGCTTCGGCAGATGTTTGGGTCTAATTGCCTTATTAGCGGGACATGAAACCTTCAATGTGACCGAGCCTCGACTGGGCTCCTGTGCAGCCCCACCAGTAGGATTAAGCTACAGTCACTGGATGCCACAGCATCCCAGCACCGGTCCATTTCCACACCGCGTGACCGCTGATTAGACGGTTTTAAACGTCTGAATGGCTACACTCAAAGGCAGCTATTGTTATCACGCCATTTATCCTTGTGAATTCATTTAGATTGTAAAGCAATTCACTTCAATTCAGCAAACTTCTTTTTTTTTGTAGATGTATTACTTTAAAATTCTCTCAAATTTGAGTTTCTCCCTCGTAGATTTGCTTATTTAATCCTGGAAATTCAGTCCCAGCTGCTGTGGTCGTATCTGCTTCACGCACACCACAGCAACAGCTGGAGCAGCTCCTGGTTTCTTCATGTCCCCCCGTGGACCAGAGTGTGTCCCCGTCGCATTTGCAAAACCCAGACGGATTTCTTCGTGCTTAGCTAACAGTTAGCTAGCGCGCTCGCAATGCACAGCGACAGATTCGCCGGTTCGCAAAGCCACAAAAGACATCGGCTGCTTGTGGTTCTGGATTCACGCCGTTGCTCTGAGAGGAACCCAGAAGCGTCACTTTGCAGTTAATCGCATAAAGTCCAACAGGTTTCACGCCGCGCCGACAAAGGCCTTCGGAAAACGCCGAGCCGCGATCGGCGGGAGCAAGCGAGCCGAGCTCCTCGTAAAGGTCCCGTCGGGCCCCGGGAGGTCGGGCGCCGCGTCCCCGTGAGACCCGGGTCGCCCGTCAGAGGTTGTAGAGCAACATCTGCCGGGCCTGCCTCTGCTCCCTACCATCCCCCCCCCCCCCCGTGGTGTCAGCCCGGTCATTTGTTTGGAAATACCCGAGGACCCCCCCAAAGGGGCCATGCCCCAGGATTATTCTGTAAGAGGAGCTGCACTGCTGTCGCACGTTAACCTGCTATCACAAGTCTCTCGCGCGGAGAACAAAGGGGACGAAGAAGAGCCGCCGGATGCAAAGCGCCCGTGCAGATGTTTGGCGCCAGGCGAAAGATGTGACGGGTCTTGTTCGGTGACTTGGCTCCCGAAGCGATGCTGCGTGCTATGAATTATATTGTTTAATTATCTTCATCCACTCACTCAAACCTGTTGGATTAACGGAATGACATTTGGCAAAAGAGCCTCCGTGGTGGAGACAGATGTGCACGCACACACAACCACGCGCACACATCTTCATACCTCGGAAAGCGACACAAAAAAAAACAGGCCGACAGACGAAAGATGTGCCCCCCCCCTCCCAGCCCCACCCCACCCCACCCCATAGAACTTGCCCCTCTTGCCACCATCTGAAACATGAGCTCACTGACGCCGTCGCTCCCAGCTGAGCGCAAAACTGCGACTAATATGAAGCTTCGCCAAGAAGCCGAATGATTCATCCCGATGGACGGGACGCACATCGGGGACATGAAGAAATGCACACACACACACACACACGCATGTAGTCATTCGCTGCGATGAAACGCCACACATCATCTCTTCAGTTGAAGGCGAGAGGTGGAGGAGGAGGAGGAGGAGGAGAAGGAGGAGGAAGCTGTGCTCTTTGCAGCAGCAACAGTTGGCTGTGTGTTTGACTGAGAGGGAAAGAGTTCGCTGCAGCACACAGACGCACACAGACGCACACAGACGCACACGGCGCAGGTTTGGTGGGAGATGGGAGGAGATGGACGGGGAAGGAAAAGGTGAGGGATAAAGCCACAAAGCCCCCGCGGGTGGAGGGGATGCCTGGCAACCGGTGGCAGAAAGAAAATGGAGATGCAGTCATAAAAAGAGAGGGAGAACTAAAAGGGACACACACACACACACACACACACACACACACACGTTGGAAAACACTAAACAGCAGCAGGGAGACGTAACCTTCACTCACTGGAGTCGTCCGAATCGTACCCCTCCACGTCGGGCTCCTCGTCCCTCCTGCCGGCCTGCGAGGAGGCGGAGGCACAGGCTCGCTCCGGTTTATCCTCATTGGTGCGGTCACTTTCGGCGGTGGAGGAGGCGGCCGAGGTTGAGGTTGAGGTGGAGAGGGCAGGGCTGGGGGGCCCGGCGTGGCCCGCCGGCTGGGGCGCTGCTGGGGGGAGGCCCCGCGGGTACCGGGGGAAGTAGTCTGAGATCTGCTTGATGGGCTGGATGGGGCCAGGGCACACGTCAATGGCCATGTGCTCCTGGATGCTGATGGTGGGTTTCTCGCCTTTGCGTTGTGTCATGCATGCGGTCCAGCCTGGAGCCTACTCCACAAACCCCCCCCCCCCCAAAAAAAAACTGAGAAAAAAAAAAGCCGGCCCCCTCCACCCCCCCCACACACCCCCACCCACCGACCCTTCTTTGTCTGGAGCTCCAACCGTCTTTCTGTTGCTCCTGCGGGGTCGACCTTGGCGCACAGGTCCAGGTGATCCGTCTGCTGCTGCTGCTGCTGCTGCTACGTCTTCCACTGGCGTCCTCAGACCCGACCATGCTGCCTGACAGCCTCACACGCTACTACCTACCCGCCCGCTCGCTGCTCGGTGCCCCCCCCCCCCCACACTGCACCGCCTCTCTGAGAGAGAGAGAGAGAGAGAGAGAGAGAGGGATTAGAGAGGAGGGAGGGATCAGCTGATGTCACTGCCTAGCAACCGAGCGGTAAACAGGAACACGTCGGTCCATAGGTGCTTAATTATGATATTAACCCCATCCATCTGTCGTGGGGGGCAGTAACTGACTCGTGTGTGCGTTGTGTTTACCTCTGGTGAATGAGTTGTGATTCTGTTGTTTGGGGGGGGGGGGGGGGTGGGGGGGGGGGGGGGGTTTATCACTTTGCAACCAATTGCAACCAAAGCAGAGACACATCTTTGAGGGGGGGGGGAAATGGCCAACTCCCCCCCCCCCCCGCCGCCTGCACCCTTCACACCCTGGCTTCTTCTCCCCCCCCCTGAGTGCACACTTCATTCATCCTTTTCTTCGTGCACAGAGGTCCGTTTTTCCCGCCACGCGCGTTCACGCGCCCTGACGTCATCGCACGTGTCCTAATTGCTCTTCGTCTGTTTCGACACTTTGCGGTTAACCCCCCCCCCCCCCCCCACACACACACCCCATCAGAGGGGGTCGACGAAATTGAGCCCGCTGCAGTTAACCGCGTGACACGATGCGCGTGCGTGTGAGACCTTTTATGGAAACGAGTTTCCCCAAATCCAGCGGAACGACTTCAGACCTGAAATAGACGCTCGGCCTTCAGGATGGAATTCATTTGTATTCACAGTATGACCCCCCCCCCTCCCTCCCTTCCTCCACCCCCCAAAACGGGAAGTGCGCAACACTTGTTACTCACATTGCATAACAAAGAGGCTCCCGGTATCTCGGAGGAGTCTCTCCCTGCAGACCCGGAGCTTTACACCCCCCCGCAGCGCCCCCTGCTGTCAGCAACGAGTCACGGGGGGCGGGGTTCTGTTGCAGGTGGTTTTTATTCTTTCACAGCGGGGGGCGCGAGGGGGGGGGGGCGCTGAGCAGGTCCAGTCATTAAGGGCCGCAGAGGTCGATCAACATCCAATCAGCCTCTCAAATCCAAAGATGACCTTTTTAATCCAAACTCAAGTTAAATATTGTTTGTGCTTTTGTTTATCAGATTTAGTATTTTAGAGGAAAAAAAGAAGTATAAAAAAGATAATTCTTAATGATAACATCGTATCTTGATTGTTAGATTATGACATTAACAAGTTACAGCAATAAATAAGTTAATGGTTGATACATCTTTATAAAAGCATTGAAAGAATAAATATAATAAACTAATATCATTGCTAAACCTTTACTAACCTTTCTTTGTTGCTTAATTAGGATCAATACACATTTTATTACGCGCCTATTAACTGTTAACGGAAACAATTTGTCATTAAGGTAATAATTCCTTTATCGTAGTTTTTTAATTATCATTTGGGGGCTTTTGGAGTTTTATTGACATCAATGAGGACTGACAAGGGCCTCATGAGCGCCTCATTGTCAAAATTATGGGATTTTACAAATCCTGTTTACTCTCGACTGATAATCGATCCGATGCGTCCCGAGTGCTGGACGGGGTTTGGACGTCTGCATTGATCCCCGATGAGGAGGACGGCGGCCCACGCGTTAGCTCGTTAGCTACAGCTGAAAAAATGTATGTTTCTCAAATATATTATTCTCAAATATATTGGGCATATCTGTTGGAACATTTGTGAGAAAACTACAGACCCAACCAGCCAATATATCTTTTCAATTGGACTCAAAAGAAGCAGTTTAGTCCGTAGTTGGTCGCTACGTGAAAAGCACCCTAATTGATGCCTGCAGGGCATCGGAACCGTGAATGTGAATGGATGAAACCTCCAAGACGGCCGAACGCGGGCCAGTGGTTCATACGACGGCTCTTCCATGCCGAGGCTCCTCAGCGGGCTGATGGGGGTGAGGGACCGTGTGGTGGTCCCAACATGAGGGACCACCCACACGGCCCCTCATGTTGGGACCATGTTCGTTCCCAGGAACCTGAAACCGTTTTGGGTTACATTCAGAGAATCACTCATATGAATAATGACCCGGCAGACTCTTTATTCCCAACATACGCGGTCCAAGCCTCGACACACTGAGCTGCTCTTTCGTTTCCTTCCCAGGCGACATCGTAGATCATTAGGGTGGAAGAGAAGTGGCGCGGCGGCGTTTAGCCAACAGGCCGCTGTGTTCACAATCACTCTTTTGTTTACGCCGTTGATTCAGCTGCTGCATAAAAACTAATCAACAATCTCCTCCAAATAGCACGGCAGCTCGGGAGAAACCCGATCAACGATGTCTAACGAGCGCTCTGAGGAGCCCCCCATCCCCCAACCCCCCAACCCCCCCATCACCCAGGCATTATGTTTAAACGAGGGAGTAAACCTGTATTATTTGCTTTTACCTTCCTAATGGCCCTTAGTGACACCTCCGCACACCTCACGCTCCCCTTTGTTCCATCGGGGGCTCCGAGGTGGAGCGCCGGTCATTAGACGGGTGGGCGGGAACCGGCTGCACCCACGGGTGTCACGGCCAGGAGGGCGCGAGGGGGACTGTGTCCGAATGGAGGCCCCTCACAGGGAACCACATCACCACCACGTCCAAGGGGCTCGATGCTGGACGTCTTTGAGGGACAAGCTGTGTCCTTCTGGTTGGTTGAGGTGTGTCAGCTGACGCTGCCCTCTAGTGGTCACAAGCCAACGTTACATTCAGATACAGATACATTCATCTGGAAGTTTACTCCGTAGTATTTACAGTGTACACCTGGAAATCTAATGTGACTAATGATCAGGAGGAAAAGCAGGTGTGACTGTTTCCCTCGATCATAAGATCGAGAGTTAAGGATGATTGATTACCCCCTTTCTTTTCGATTTAGGATCTTTGCAGCTTTCTGACGGCTATTCTCTCTTTTTCTGACTCGTCGTGCTTCTATTTGCGGTTATTTTCTAGCTTTGCATCTCGTTATCCAGCCGTGCCCACAACAGATGATCTGATAGCGCTTGTCCTGAAGTAGCTTAAGCCCCTTTGTTGTCCAAACAGCTCGTGCATGGGGGACATGGTTACACGCGTTTCTCCTGTAAACATGCATTTCCTCAGACATCTGTGGCTGAAATCGTCTGCTTGGAGGAAAGCTGTCGGTCGCCTGTAACAAACGAAGCCTCTCGGCGTTCTAGTTCTGCGGCTCCTACACGAACAGCTGGAGCCCAGGACGCCCGGCGTCTTGTGATTTCCATGACATTTCACTCCCGGTATCAGATTGAACTAATTAAAGAGAAAGAGGCTCACGGACAGAGTGGTGGTGAACTTCTGAGACGGTTTATTTAAACTGGAGTTCATTTACAGCAGTTCCACTGGAGGGAAACGGGGGATGGTTGAAGGTCCTATCGACAGGATGCACGGGGGGGGAAGGCACAGAGTCGGCGTAATACTCGCCTGTAAGCGATGTCAACACAACGGGGGGGCTGAGTGGGGGTCTTATAGTGGATGGCTGGAATCTGCTCTTTCTTCTTTAGATATGAATCCATTTCTCTGAACGTACGAGCGGTCATGTGACCCACTGGTGCCAACGTGGATTCATTCTGTCAAGCTGGTGTTTTACAATACGAGACATGTGACGAACGTAAAGTGAACAATGTTAAGGCCTTTTTGTAATTAGATCGATGCATCACACACGGGGGAGGGGGGGGGGGGGTAAATAATGCCGTACGTCATTCACTTCACATCTCATGCAGCCTGACAAAGCTCAACTACTTTACATTATTTGTCTCAATAATGTGACAAGAGAGAATCATTTCTGGCCACAGACAGAAAATAAATGAAAACCACTGGAACAGAAACACGATTCAAGTAAAGCGTCTTTAAAACTGGAGAAAAACTAGGAAATCACTGGAATCTCAGATTCAGATTATGCTGCTTGTAAAAAAAAAAAAAAGTACATTCAACAGGTTCGTCCATAATGGAATCAACCAATAACAGGTAAGAAACAATATGTAATCGCTGTAACAGTTGGAGAAATATTTGGACTGTTTGACTGAATTCATTCTCTACTTTTACACCAAATTGCCTCGTTTGATGAAAATTGATTTTACATTTGTGTTAATTGTTTTTTTTAAACTCAGGTTCTTTATCTCATTAACACACTTTCTTTTTTTTTACTTGCTGTATATTATGAATTCTCCGAGAATCACAACCACTTCATGCGAAAGGTGCGCTTGTTTTGTGTCACTGTGCCCGGTTGAGTCTAAAGCCGCCTTTTTATTCATCAAAACATTTCTCCCAACACACAGATTGAGTTTTTGGTGGACAGAATAGAACATTAAATGATTTAAATCATAAATACACCACCATGGTTGTACGAATAGAATTATATACTAATACATAACTATGTTTGTTTTTTTGTCCAACTGAAACCAAGTTTATACAGCTCAATATGTTTACATGTGACCGTGGACATAAAAAAAAAATATATTATATGTGAAAAATATCACAGGAGCAAATGACAAAAAGGTGCAAAATAATCCCAAAGGTGCCAAAGACGGCAAAACACTCGACGCCTGAAGAAGATTCACTTCAAATAAAAACATTATTTTACACCGAGCGGAACCAGATCACCAGTTCGATTCCGTCGTCATGGAAGAAACGAGGAGGGTGGAGGAGGGCGGAGGAGGGGCAGAGAATGAAGACGGGAGGCAGCGGAGCGACGGAGCCACAGAGGGAAAAAAAAGGCAGAGTCATATTTTTGAAGAGACAACTTTTGTGTAAACAAAAGAAAAATGGACTATTGAAACTCATTAAATAAGTCCATCCTGATCCGACCTTTGAGGACGCAGAGGAAAGTGCTGAATTAATGCCCCCCCCCCCCCCCTTGGTGAAGCTGAACGACGAGTGGAGACGGAGGAGCTCGTTTTCACTTAACGGAGTTTCTCATCGTCCAAAAACACCCGCAGCTGAGATCTGTGATCAACGCGGACGCTGCGTTTTCTTTCTTCCCGGGTTTTTCCGGGCGAACGAGAGGGAACCAAACGATGGCCGCGTGGTTCTCTGGCTGCTTTGCTTTGTAACGTACTGCGTGTTCTGAACATGGCACGCGGGGGGGACTCAGGCAAAAAGAAAGAAGAACAAGAAAAGAAGAGTTTCTACAAATATGTACACGACATGATACAGGCACTTGTATATCTTTGGTTGGAAAAACCCAACATTGCGGAGTAATGCATTCAGAGAGCTTTTGTGTCCCTTATAGTTACTTCCAGGGTTCACTAGGCACCTGGTATGTTTGTTCACACCGTCCACCTCACAGGTACGTTCTGAGGGAGCTCTCGGAGGCCTTTTTAACCCTCTGACAGCGCCACCTGCAGCACGAGAAGAACACGGTTCAGAGGGTTAGTGCAGCAAGTCCATCGTACAATAACTGGCAGAGAGGACGCAGCGGCAGGCTGAAATGGTGTGTGTGTGTGTGTGTGTGTGTGTGTAGCAGGACACAGATCTCCATCAAATCTCCTCAGTAAACGTTAGAGGAGCTGTGGGCAAAATCACTCCAGAAACAATCCTCATCCAAGTGAACGACTGAAGTTTCCCTTCAAAGAGCCTCCGCTGAAACGCAGCGTTAAGCTAAGCTAATGTAAGCTAAGCTGAGCTAAGCAAACACTTCCTGCTGCTGCCTCACAACAAGCAGAAAGCTTTTATGTGGAGCTTCAGAAAATGAGACGTGATTATCACAGATTAAAGAAAGCTTAAGTTGAGCAGCTCGCAGACACATTTCTCTCCCAATCAATATTTCTACATTTCATTTAATCATCTTACTAACTAATTTACATTAAATGACTTTGTCATTGCAACCTTTAGCTGAACCCTGAATCCGTATCTTTAACTTGAGTAAAAAGGCTATGTGACGTGAATATGTCATCAAGTAATCGATTTCCACCAGTCGTGAGGATGAGCATCCATTAACGAGATGGGTCTTCATCAGAAGTCATTTAATTACTGTTATTATTTCTTCTGATGAGCGTTTTAAATGGTTCACAGTAGCAGAGGCGAAGCAGCAGCGTGACGGAGGCTCGGTTGGAGCTACCTGTTCTCGTCATAAAGCACTGCTGGTGTCGGCTGCACCTTCTCGGGACACGAGTCGGGGTTTGGCTGCCGCGCTTTGCCGGGCCGCCCCTTGATGACCGCGTAGCAGAACATCGTGATGACCATGACAAACAGGAAGTAGCTTGTGTGCATCAGGTGCAGGTTGATGAGGGAGCGGTCATCCTGAGGGGGGGGGGGGGGCAGATTGTAGTTACTCATCAATGGTTGTTAAAAACTAAACTTTGAAAAGGCTTTTAAATGACATATGCACTGAAGACTAAATCTAAATAAAGACCATTTAAATTTTGTACATCATAATCTGCTCAGAGCCAAGGATCAAACCTCTCATCAATCTATATGAATAAAATTTTTATTATTTGAGCGGCAAACAGAATCAAAGATATTAGACCGTTTGTACAGACGCAGGCTTGAAAATGGTGGACTCATTTTTCAACAAATGAATGACTCACGTCGGGGACGATGACGGTGAGCTTTGGGTTGAGTGCGTGGTACAACTTGCCGATGGCTCCTTTGTAGCACCACAGCGGGTTGTAGTCCTGGCTGTACTTGGTGTCCGAGTCGCGGACTGTGGTGAACACCTTGTACCAAGAGGTGGCGTTGGTGTACGTCTCCGGCACGCAGTGCGGCGGCTGCCTGCGGACCACAACAAAGAGACGCGCCGTTTACGCCTCCATGAGGAATCCAACGCGGTTTCCACGACGACGGACACCAACCGACTTCGTCAAAGCAATCAGACGGCCGACCATAAAATGAGCTCTGTGGAGTTTTTTTGGGCTTAAAGAGTTTAAATCAAACGAAAGGTGTTGGTTCCCAAACGTCATCGTGCGTCTGTGAAGTCGGTCCAACTCACACTGTGACCGGGAAGACGTTGCTGGCCGCCGCGACGGTCATGCAAGTGCTGAACACCACCTGCTCGCAGTGGCCGTGCAGCACACACTCGTCCGAGTTCCAGGATGCCGGCAGGGTGAAAGTGATGTTTATCTCTTCGTGGGCTTCCCGGCCTTCGCACATACAAAGGAAAACAAGTCAAAAAAACATGTGAAAATACATTAAGAGCATTTCAGTGACAAAACTGTTCTTTTCTTTTCCTTGTCAAGTGGCTTTAAGATGGCGGCTCACGTTGACATGAGATCAACCTGCAGCACAATCAGCCTGAGGAATGTGGCCCTTCGGCCCCGACGGGTAAACAGCCGGCATCCAGCTCCCCCAGCGGCAGCGCGCAGGCCGATGCAACAGCAAAGGGAATTTATCAGATTATCAGTCACACGCCGCGGCGTGACTGAATAATGAAGTGCTTGTGTCAACATAACTGCTAATCCAAAAGGGGGACAAATATGGACACAGAGTCTCCAAATCGTCCCTGAGCAAAGTCAAACACCGAGGACGACGTGACATTTTCAGAAGGATCGATGTGTCTCACAAACCGTTCTTTGTGTTAAATGTGTCAGAGGGGGAAAGTAGTGGCGTCCATGTGACCGCGTGAGCAACGTTTGTGTCCATCGATAACAAAAGGCTTCAATATAAACACATTTTTAAAATGGTACCATTGAAACTAATCTATAGAATTGTTAAGCTGATGACACATGAGGTGTGTCAGATTTAAAACAGACGACACGGATGCATGTTGTTTGCAAAGAGCTGATCCCGTTTCAGAGTACGTGGCACCGCGAGGTTCATTAACCACCACAAAGTAAAACCGCCATGCTGACAGAGTCAGGCTTCTTGTTTCAGGTAAATAAGTGCACATTTATGCTTTTTAGTCAAACAAAACATTAAGCTATCATTGTAAAATGCCTTTAACACAGTGAGGGTGTCAATAAATACATTATAAAGTCTAATGACCCTTAACTACTACTCAAGATATTAATATAAATATAATCTACATTCATGTAGATATATTTGCATTGCTGGACAAGCAAATGAGCAGGTAGAAAGGTGCAACATCACATATTAAAATGCACCCAGTCTGACTTGTTAACCCAACAAGGAAGCTTGTGAGTCAGATATCTCATGTCCACTGAAGCAGAAACGATTAACAAAGACGGGAGTTCCACCCAGCTGGCCTAATTTCAATAAAGGATTCCATTTCCTTCTTCTTCTGTGGGGGGGGGGGGCATAACTAATATACACGGCCTTAGGAGACAAAAAGAGGTATTAAGAAGCACAAAGCCTCTTTTGATTTTGTTCTTCTTTCTGAACCTACAGGACGAGCTGATGTCACCACGAGGAAGTCCCCTCCCTCAGAATTAACTCCGCACAGCAAACACATGGAACCGGACCACAACAATGACTGTGTGAGGGGAGCGCGTGTGGCTCGGTAGTGCAGATCAACCGAAAAGTCGACCCGTCGGCACGAAAGTGACGCCGAGTCCATCTGCAAGATCGAGGTATAACCGCCAATAAGTGATGACCAACTGATGTCAGGCTAAACGCTGCTGCGTCGCTCGCCGGCCATGCAGGTAAAATATATCCTGCGGTGCTGTCAGTCCCAGTAGTGTTGCCCCCCCCCAATTAAATCCTTATTTATATATCTGAACGTCTGTTTAATATTTGCATTGAATTTCAAACACAAAGCTGCCGTTGAGGAAGAGGCTCCTACCAGAGAGTCCGACCTGCTGCCCCAGCACCGTGGCGTACAGGTGGGTGATATTGCGAGAGTACCCCCCGAACGGGCGCTGGGGGTCCAAAGTGAGGGTGATGGGGACCGAGATGTTGACGGCGCCCGAGTCGTCCAGCAGGAGGGGAACCTGGGTGCTGGACCGGGCCTGGCCGCTGGTCACCACCAAGCTCTCCGGCGTGGTGGACTCGTTCAGGCCGTGCTTTATGGTTTCGTTCTCGGACACGCAGAGGTCCAGCTCATTGAAGCGCAGCAGGAAGGTGTTCCAGTCCTGGGAGGGGGGGGGGGACAATATGTTACGATCAACCAAACAGCTGCGACAGCCGTTTAAAACGGCTCTATGTAGACTTTCCCACGCTGAAATGTTGTAGTCCAGGCACAAAGCGTATGTGGCCTTGATTATAAAGCAGATGATATCTAATCAACATTAATTAATAATCATTTCATGTCATCATCATTACAAACCACCAGAGAGGTTCGTCCCGTTTCGCTACAAGACAAAGAGACGATACACGAGGAAGAAGAATGAAGGAACCTCGCAGCCACAGCGAAGCTGATCTGAAGTCTGTCGTGACGACAGCTGATACTTGTGTACATCTTGCCAGATGGCAGCAGGCTGTGGTGGGAATTGTCTTTTAATATCTTTTGATCTAGTCGCAGGCACCTCATGCCACCAATATCACTGATGCTCCGTAGATGGGTACCAATGAAACACACCACATCACACTGGTTTTATTGGATCGGTTGTGTGTGTGTGTGTGTGTGTGTGTGTGTGTGTGTGTGTGTGTGTATTAGAGCCAGGTGGAAAGGACAGAAAAAAGAAGACTATTTCACTCACCTCTGTCAACTCTGGAGACCTGATCTCCTTAATCTTGAAGAAATAACCGATGGTGAGGAAGGCGATGGCCACCGCACTGACGCTGATCATAAAAATGACCAGCGGGGGACGGTTGTTGATGTAGCTCCTCAGGTTCTCTACAGGGTTTAACAGGTACACCTGCAGAGGCACAATGTGCCCACGTTTCATTAGAACACGACTCTTTTTAAATGTTCGGGGTGCAACGGATATTAAAACATCGAGGGTTTGACTCCCGGAGTAAAAACATTTTCACAGCTGAAATTCTAAGTCAAAAAGCATTTTACTGTAAAAACATCTTCAAACTTCTGGCTTGCTAATAGTTTTTCACCGATACATTTTAGAAGATTACCTTTGAACACATGATAATGTTGTAATTCCCTGTTGCCTCAGATGTTACCTGAACAATGGATGATAAATGCCTGTCCATATACTCTCAAAGCCAACTGATAAAGGCGTGTAGAGGTCTGGTGATTGTGCTGCTGCCAACATTACTGGCACTTTTCCAGTTTGGCAATAATGGTTTTATTCATTTCTCCACAATCATAAACTTTACCCTAAGAGCACAACATACTACATGTATGCAGTCCAGTTTAGTCCACTGCTGAAACTGGTATGATGCAATAATATTTTACACTTCTAATCAACTACATTAACAAAACATTTTTAATTGTTTTCTTGCATCGTATCATAACACTGAATTATGCATTTATACATTTCATATTTGTTCATTCCTTTCATGGAGCACTTTGTGTTTTTACCACACCTTGAGTCTTTCCTTTACAACTTCAGAGGGAGTATTATTGTATTAAAAAAGGACATAAATGATCAACTGCTTCACGAACCAGAGAACCTATTTGGAGTTTATCAAGAACTGATTCCACTCCGGCCAAAAGGTTCACAGTTTGAGTTTTAACTACATCACTCCGATCCAGTTGTACTTGACAACATTGTCAGGAATCAGGAATCAGGAAACAGGAAACATTTATTAGCCAAAATATGTCAAACATACAAGGAATTTGTCTTGGCGGTTAGTGCGCGACAGTAGACAGACAAGACAGCAGTGCACAAGTAATAAAATAAAGTGGAATGAAATGCTAATGCAATGGGTTAGTAGAATAAGGCTAAGGCTATGGGTTAGTATAAAACAAGGGAATAAAGTTAAAAAAAATTAAATATTAAGAAGTTAAAAAGAAAAATATTAAGCATAAAGTGCACTAACGAACAAGTAACAGACAAGCGACAAAGTGACAAAGTGATGAATTGTACTTCACGCCAAAGGCTCCCCGTGTTCTAAACCAGGTGGGGCATCGTGCTGTTTGTGAGAGCTCAGAGTAAACAGGAGGCGGACGAGTCCGTTGTGGTAAGTGAGGACAAACTGTGCTTCTTCCGCACGCAGGTGACTCGAGCTGTCGATGAGCTAACGTTAGCTAACTTACCTCAGACGATAATTCCCGGGGAGTGACAACAATGTGACCTTAAGGAGCCAAAGTGTTACACTGCCCTCACGACAATAACGTTAAACGTCAGCAAACCACACGGCTCTTACCATGTTTTCGACGAATGCCAGCTGGGAGGTCCGCAATCGAAGGCAGCGGTTGTTGCTAACAAGCCGATGTTGCTGCTCGCTAGCAAGCTAACGTTAGCTCCTCCGGGGAAGAACGGCTGAAGAGCAAGAGTCGGTGTTCGGTGGAGACGACCGGACTTTCAGCGTGAGGAGCACCGCGTGTCCTCCTTCCCATCCTTCGCGTTTGTAGTAGAAGTTATCTCTCGCGTACACAGTCGGGGACAACGACACAACGTCAACACCGCCTCTGGCTCGTCCCCTCCGACATGGCGTCCGTGCACCCGCACTGCGTAGCGCCCGGGACCTGACGTCCGCGCGTACGTGATTTACGTCGTGTTTACAAACGTCTGAGGGCTTCGTGCTGCATTCAGGGACCGTCTGAAATATAAAGTGCGTGCGAGCGCAAGTGTTGTTTGTTTTTTTCACCAGTTACATACGAATGATATGTATAAAGTATTAATCGCGGTAGGTGCTGTAACTGTTGATTCACCACATTTGGGAGTAAATTGAGGCAGCATGAACTCTGACCGGTACTAAGTAAAATAATGAAAATTTAGCGAGGAACATTGTTCTTGGCACTTGGGAACGCTGTTTAGTTAAAAAATCCTTTTTTAGTCAAATATTATTTTTTACTCTTTAAGAGCACCGACAGCTTCTGGGTGCACTTGTTGATTTTTAAGTGAGTGATTTATTATCATGGTAATAGGATCATGTTGTATTGTGTGCATGCATGTGTGTATTTAAGTGTGCTGTGTATTTGTGTACCAGCAATTTGCCCATGTGTATTCAAGGGAGGCACGAAAATCAACTGTGGGTAATGGCTTGTTATGTAAAGGGCTCCAGTTCACCAGATGGCGGTAGAAACCTCCTTCTGCTTATTTAAAAGTCCCCGGTTTCTCCACGAAGGGATTTCAGTGGGCATTGTGCGCCCATGCTGGAGCTCGGTGGAGCTCCTCGGTCAAGTTACCAGAGAACAGGCGGAAATACAATGTTTACCCTTCCAAATAAAGGAAATGAGTCACCTTCTGGAACAGAAAAGTTCCCTTCGCATGGTGTTAAAGTTGGAAAAAAACAGCATGTAAGCACTGTATTGCAATTGTAGCCCTAATTAAATAAAATTAAATGAAAATAATACATTTTCCCGGCGTTTTAACTTTTACTTTGGAGACCTCAACCGGAAACGGGCTGCATGTTTAAATAGTAACAGCCGCTCTGATGACAGTGGTGAGCTCTTGGCTAACAACAATGAGAAGTGCTAGCTGCGATAATCGTGCAATTATTTTTGACTACGCTTCTATGAGGTAACTGCAGTAAAACCGTCATTTATACGTAATTATATTTGCAGATTTACGGCCGCTCCTCGTTGACCGCTGTAGTGCAGCGTTTGCTAGCTAGCCGCTTACGTGTAATACGTGGAGGAGTAACGTGGCTAAAGCGAAGCAATAGTTAGCCAAACAATTGACTTCGTAGTGTAACGTTAATATGAATAACGTTAATATTCATATTAACGTTTTAAACCATATGAAACGACTACGCCTTCAATCAAACTGGCTGGTTTACGTTTAAAGTGCAATTGATGATTCCTTTGGAAAAGTGTTTTTTTACGTCACGCTGGACAGAAGATCCACCATCTTTTGTTAAACATTTTGTTAAATTAACGTTTCCCTGCCAACGCGATCTGGAGAAAGTTCGTGTCGATCAGTGAGACTTAAAGGCCCCAATTGACGTTGATACAGAAGATATCTGGTTAATCCGCAATTTAAAGACATTCCGTCAGTTTAATTAAAGAAATCCTCACATATTTACACAAAAAAACTGCAATCAAATCATTTTGACTGTTTTAATTAACTATCGATTTTCAAAAACAAGTGTCCGATTAGTTGAATATTATTTAATATTTAATGAAAGTTAATTGATGCTGATTTCTGGTGCATTTTAAACCTGGTTCTTCGTCATATTGAACCTCAATCGTCCACCAACAGTTAGAAAGCCGTTTTAATGTGGCCGGCTGATCACTTGCATGGGAACATGTGATGCACGTGGAGACGAGTGTGACTTGTCCCTAATGATCCAGCGCTCCTCTTCAATCTCTCTCGGCCTCCTTTAGGTTGTAACCTGCCCACCGTCACATCTGGATGCAGAGAGCCCTGATTTTATCAGCGCACACGACTTTCTGCGTCGGCCTAAAGCAACTTCGGACGGCGCGCGGATCCCTTTCTGTCGCTCCGAGCTTTAAACCTCCGCCTCCGCTTCTCCCTGGCCGCCGACTCCATCGCCTCTCCTCCGAGCTCCTCCAGGACCAGCGTCCCCGGCTCTCCCCGCATCGGCGTTTCTCCCACCGGCCGGACATGGCAGAGCAGAGGTTCATCGTGGAGTACGCCAAGCGCGGCACGGCGGGATGCAAGAAGTGCAAGGACAAAATCCCCAAGGAGGTGGTGCGCATCGGGAAGATCGTGCCGAACCCCTTCAGCGAGTCCGCGGGGGAAATGAAGGAGTGGTATCACGTCAAGTGTATATTCGAGAAGCTGGAGAGGGCGAGAGCCACCACCAAGAAGATCGAGGACATCACGGACCTGGAGGGCTGGGAGGAGCTGCAGGACCAAGACAAGGAGGTCATCAATAAACACGTTTCAGGTGCCGTCCCACGCTGCTTAATGCTACTTATGGGCTCCAAAGCTGTAACTCTGGTTCACCCTGAACATGCTTTCATTTTTAATGTGGATTCCAGGCGGCTTCAACAGTCACTGGTTCCCGTCTTTCACCCTTTGAGCACATTAATGGAATATTCATCTTCCCCAGGTGACGTGATCGATGCACCATCGCGGTCAGCGTTTAATCGACCTGACCAGAGGGCCGCAGCGAGCCGATACGACCTTATTTCTGCACACGACATCGATTTGTAGCATTGCCCCACGAGTCCGAGAGCACCGGTCGATTGATTTACTCCTCCAAGGAGATCCGTGTCATGGTTCAACTCACCAGGCGTGTCAACACAGAGCAGAAAGCTCGCCCCTTTCAGGGAGTCGGTCAACCTGCTCTCTTAATGTCGGCCTACCTGTTAAACCAGGAGGGCTTAGATGGCGTCGTAGAACGCGTTCTCGGGGTGATTGAGCCGCGTGATCATTGTGGAAATATTTACGTGAGCTCCGGATAACGCGTCCACTCAGAATCCACTCACACGTATTTCTTCCTTTGATAAGTCATTGTTTTCACGAGCTCCAGGACTTCTGCTGCGGTTCTTCTGGTTCTTTGTTGAATCATTTTTGCACTCCTGCGATCTCCAAATGGTTTCTAGTGGCAACGCTCACCGTCCAGTCGTGTCTCCTGTCAAAGGGTTCCGTATTTGTTTTGCAGACCTGATGGCCAAAGTCAACGCCAGTCCAAAGAAGAAAGCGTCGGCCAAGACGAACACCTCCGGTCAGCTGATGGCTCCGCCCGCCGACCCGTCCGTCAACGCGCCGCGGAAGTTCTCCGGCTTCACGGGTAAGATGTGACGCAGCGAGGAGGAGAAATGAGAAGCGATTGGAAATTACAACAAAATCAAATGAGGCGAAGAACTTTTCCTCAGTCAGAGATAACAGAAGACAAAAGAAACCTCTGGTCCACTTCTGTCTGATGATTCGCTCACACAAAGTTGTTTTTCATGTTTTTAAAACAATCGCCCAAAACCCAAAGTCATAAAAACTTGTCAGATTATCATTTTTCCGACGGCCCTTGAACGCGTCACTGACTCTTCAATCAGAAAAAAGCAACTGAAACTGAATCAGCAGCTCTGTCGACTCGCGCTCACTCTTCTCCTTCTCCTTGTTCTCGTCAGCTGCCAAAGCGGGCGGCAGCGCCGCCGCCGCCGGCGGCCCCGGACCGTCCCCTCCCCCCGCCTCGGCCAACGACAGCCGGGGCAGCCCCCTGTCCGCCCAGCTCTGCGACCCCCGGCACAAGGACTGCCTCTTCAGAGAGTTCCGCAAGCTCTGCGCCACGGTGGCCGAGCACAACAGCTACAACGTGAAGACGCAGATCATCGAGAAGTTCCTCCGGAAGGGCTCCGGCGGAGGTCGGTGTGTCCGGCCGCGTGACACGAGGTTCCCCCCCCCCGCCAGGTGTTTGTTCTCCTTAACGCCCTTGTCCCGCCCCCCAGACAAGTTCCACGGAGATCTCTTCCTCACGGTGAAGCTGCTCCTGCCGGGCGTCGTGAAGAGCGTCTACAACCTCAACGACAAGCAGATCGTGAAACTCTTCAGCCGCATCTTCAGGTGCAGCCAGGAGGAGATGGTGCGCGACCTGGAGCAGGTGTGTGGTCCGTTACCTGCCCGAAGAGACAACGGACAGTCTTCCCGCGTTGATGATGGCTCATCTTTTTTATTTTTTCTCTCAGGGCGACGTGTCTGAAACGGTGAGGATGTTCTTCGACAAGAGCAAATCGTTCCCCGCGGCCACCAAGAGCCTCCTGACCATCCAGGAAGTGGACGCCTCGCTGACCCGCCTCGCCCAGCTGACCAAGGAGGACGAGCAGCAGACCGAGCTGGAGGAGATCAGCAAGAAGTAATTCATATTTCATTTACTAACGTGGCGGTCGAAGGTTCGTGCGGCGGGATGAACTGAGAAGAGGCGAGTCGGCAGCTGGGATGTGAGGAAGCAGGAAGCCGAGCCGACCAACTCGCGACGTCTTTCCAACCAACCGTTGTAAATGGGTTTGAGTCGTTCAGTGTTCGGCCTCTGGATGTGCTGCTTGCACTTCTGTGGTGGTTTGTTTTTTCCTTCTTGTCTGCCTGAGGCATTTCTAACACACACACACACATCTGCATTGGACATTCCACGTTAGCAGATGTCAGAGTGGCACCGTGTTTATTCGGCATAAATAGCTGCAAAGTGACTGAAGCAGCATTTGCGGTGCTGTTTTTTTATTTTTTTTCAATGATGCCATGTGATCGTTGCCTTTTCGTTATTTGCGTAGTTTTATTGTCAAACCTTGCTGCTCATAACCAGCCAGTCGTCTGCCTCATGAAGGACTTTAATACTTCACAACCTCCCCCCCGGTGATGACCGGCACTCTCCCTTCCTCACAGGTGCACCAGCAATGACCTCAAATGCATCATTCGGCTCATTAAACACGACTTGAAGATGAACTCTGGAGCAAAACACGTGTAAGTGTTATTTTTCTTTTCCGTCTGGAAGTAGATCTACGTGATGCTGTATATTTTTATGTGATGATGATGATGGTGATGATGGTGGTGGTGGTTGTGTTCCGTACCGCAGCTTGGACGCCGTGGATCCAAACGCTTACGATGCCTTCAAGGCCTCGCGTAACCTAGGCGACGTGATTGAGCGGGTGCTGAGGAACCAGCAGGAAGCGTCCGACGGCTCGGGACCCAGGAAGCTGCTCACCGTGGAGGCCTCGCTCATGACCCCCGTTCAGCCCATGTTGGTGAGTTCCAGCCGCGGAAACGACCCCCGATTTTAAGGTTTCTGTACTCGCCGCACTGAAGCCTGTTGAAGCGGTGAGATTTCTGCCCACATGATTTACGTATTTACACATCTGCTCATACAAAATACATCGAGTGGCCATCCGGTTTCCTCCGGCCTTCATTTCTAATTTATAAAAAGAGTCCTACACGTCCAGTTGAATTAGTTGCTTCATGTCAAATGTATGTGGATTGTCTGTGAAAATGTGAATGACCCAATTAAGAGCAGATTTTTAATGGAAGACTAATTGCTGCTTTAATTTCTTTTGTTGGGAAAATCCAAAGAACGGTTAGCAATGATATCAGACCTCTAAATTATTGATTTAATCCTCATACCAAAATACCACAAATAACTCTTTTGATTTATTTATTATTGGTTTTTTTGATGGTGTCATTTTCAGAATCATCTTGTTTGTTTCTATAAACTCATGTTTACAATGTTTACTGAGGGAATAAATGAAAGAGAGAAGTCATTTCCTCATAGACGTCTATGGGAGCAGAGGAGTCGCCCCCTGCTGGTCACTACAGAGAAGTAGAGTCATTTCCTCATAGACGTCTATGGGAGCAGAGGAGTCGCCCCCTGCTGGTCACTACAGAGAAGTAGTCATTTCCTCATAGACGTCTATGGGAGCAGAGGAGTCGCCCCCTGCTGGTCACTACAGAGAAGTAGAGTCATTTCCTCATAGACGTCTATGGGAGCAGAGGAGTCGCCCCCTGCTGGTCACTACAGAGAAGTAGAGTCATTTCCTCATAGACGTCTATGGGAGCAGAGGAGTCGCCCCCTGCTGGTCACTACAGAGAAGTAGAGTCATTTCCTCATAGACGTCTATGGGAGCAGAGGAGTCGCCCCCTGCTGGTCACTGCAGAGAAGTAGAGTCATTTCCTCATAGACGTCTATGGGAGCAGAGGAGTCGCCCCCTGCTGGTCACTACAGAGAAGTAGAGTAATTTCCTCATAGACGTCTATGGGAGCAGAGGAGTCGCCCCCTGCTGGTCACTACAGAGAAGTAGAGTAATTTCCTCATAGACGTCTATGGGAGCAGAGGAGTCGCCCCCTGCTGGTCACTGCAGAGAATGCAGCTTTAACACATGAAGCCTGAACTGGAGGTTTGATGGCGGGTTCCTCAACACGTTCATTGACTAAGAGGCGGAACCGACCTGCAGATTGATTGATGTCCCTCTTTCCCATTAGAGGAAACCAGATGAAGGGAATATCTTCAAAACGCAGCTGCTCCTTCCAGATTACTCGACTGAATACGTCCCCCGTCCCTCTTTGCAGATGCAACTATTAATTCCACATGATTTAAGATGTGCGCACGCTTACGCTTCACATGGCACACCAGAGTTTTGATTACACGCTGTTAAAGTAAATTGAAAATTTAGTTTACAAATGATTGCCTGCAGTTCCCAACGTTCGTGGCCGTGTCGTCCAGGGCCGCGAGCTTAAGGACCGTTGGGCTGCTCGCTCAGTGTGTGTTTCTTGACTTTTCCAGGCGGAGGCGTGTAAGTCGGTGGAGTACGCCATGAAGAAATGCCCCAACGGCATGTACTCGGAGATCAAGTACGACGGGGAGCGCGTGCAGGTCCACAAGAACGGAGACCACTTCAGCTACTTCAGCCGCAGCCTCAAGCCCGTGTTACCACACAAAGTCAGTCCACACACACACACACACACACACACACTAGTGTCACAGGTTTGGCCCTTAAATGTGTTTTTCCAGCGCAAGGGGGGGAAATAAATAGCTCCACATATGTGCACTGGCCGTTTGCGGCCACTAGAGGCCGCCGCTTTGCTTGATGCGAACACCTCGGCGACCTTTAACCCTGTGGAAGCTGTTGATTCTGAACGGGTCCCTGAACGCCACACACGAGCTGTGTAGAGCGTGTCTGGAGGGACAAACGTCCTTAAAGTAACTGTCCATCTATTTGTCTCTCAGGAGCTTCTTTCTCTCCCCCTGGAACGCGTTTGTTACAGCGTGGTCTCTTTATCCACATTACCCATCAGCCACTGCAATCGGACTCAGCTTGACATTCTGACGTATGATATGACCGTTCACATCGTGTGTAGTTGGTACGAGCATGTTTGTAATAACGTGAACATGAAATGTAAAAAGCTTCCTCTGGACTTTAGAGGGTCCCTCTCTAGGATGAAGCTCGGCTCCGGGCACGTCGTTATTTATTATTTAATGGTGTTGTTTTCCACCGAGGCCTCCTGAGACCCGGGGTTGGCGGTTTGGAGTGCGTCGTGTTCCTGCTCGCCGCCTAAAGCCCGTGTCGGTGTTTCAGGTGGCCCATTTCAAGGACTACATCCCCCAGGCGTTCCCCGGGGGCCACAGCATGATATTGGACGCTGAAGTTCTTCTAATTGACACAAACACCAGTAAACCCCTGCCCTTCGGGACTCTGGGTGTCCACAAGGTGAGGACGCCACGGCCAGTGTGCTCTTTGTTTCTTTGGGGGGGGGGATTGTTGTTGTTGTCACACTTTCCTTTCGTTCCAGAAAGCGGCGTTTCAGGACGCCAACGTCTGCCTCTTTGTGTTCGACTGCATCTACTTCAACGGCGTGAGTCTCATGGAGAGGTAACGTTCTCGTCGGATTCATGGAGCACTTTTCATAATTAAACGGATGAATTCATGATTCCAGTTTTCAGGTTTTCATTTAAACACAAAAACCAAAGCCTCTTTAGTTTTTTATTTTATTTTACATTTGTAGTATGTAGCTGGGACAGATTACTACCTGGACGTGGTTAATAGGACAGGCCGTCCTATGGACACTGTTGACAGACCGTCCTACATTTGTCCCCCAGGCCTCTGTGTGAACGCAGGAAGTTCCTGGTCGACAACATGGTGGAGGTGACCAACAGGATCCTGTTCTCAGAGATGAAACACGTCACTGTGAGTCAGACTGGAGGAGGAGGCGGCGGCTTTCTGTGGTGTGAAAACATCTGCAATGGCTCACGACACCGCGTGCGTGTGTGTGTGCGTGTGTGTGTGTGTGTCAGAGGGCAGGCGACCTGGCTGAGATGATAACCCGAGTCATCAGGGAGGGACTGGAGGGCCTGGTGCTGAAGGACTTGAAGGTTAGCCGCTCTTTGGGTCTCCCGATGGGTACGTGGCGGCGATCGGCCTCTGAACGCCTGCGTGTTTCAGGGCTCCTATGAACCGGGGAAGCGCCACTGGCTGAAGGTGAAGAAGGACTATCTGAACGAAGGCGCGATGGCCGACACGGCCGACCTGGTGGTGCTGGGGGCCTTCTACGGAAAAGGCTCCAACGGTACGTAACGTCTTCCTGTCGGACGAGAACTACTCCGACAATTTCTACAAAGTCCTAATGGGAAGACGGGTGTAAGTACGGGCCTGTCATCCCGTCACGCCGACCTCCTTCAACACAACGCACACTTCAATCCAGCATTAATAATTTACTCATCTTTTATTGTCTAATCAAACCAAACAAAGCTGCAATGTGGGCCAGCAGACAAAGGAATAAGTAAAAACCAGCCTATGCCAGTTCTGACCCTTAATGTGTCCCAGTTGTTGTTAGTGTTTACTTTGTATAATTAGTACACAGTGATTTGATGCGGAGGAATAGTTGGTAATAATAAGCGTGTAACACAATGGAAGCATAAGATGCAAAAACAATGGTTCAAATCTCCAAAGCGCGGCTAATGAAGACGGCTGGTTCCTGAAACAAACGTGTGTGTGTGTGAGGAGGGAGTGATATCATGTGAATGTGTGTCTTCTCCCCACCAGGGGGCATCATGTCCAGCTTCCTGATGGGCTGTTACGACCCACACTCCAAGAAATGGTGCACGGTCACCAAGTGCTCCGGAGGCTATGACGACGCCACCTTGGCCCGGCTCCAGAAGGAGCTCGATGTGATTAAAATCAGCAAGGTCAGAGAGGCGCCGCCCTGTTTGGTATTCATTAGACAAGCTGAATGCTCCAAAACGATTAAATATTTGTGTCCTTTGTGTAGGAGCCGAGCAAAATCCCAGGCTGGCTGAAAGTCATCAAGAACTATTATCCGGATTTCATTATTCGCGATCCTCAGGTGAGGATTCTTCGTCCCAGCAGGCTGTTCACGCGCAGCCAATCGCATATCTCAGTACTGCAGACCTCCTTTTCCCCCCCCCAGTGAAGCGATGAGGGGGAAAGCACCTCCTGCATATATAATGTGCAGAAATGAATCCCTCCGGTCCGCTTTGAGACAATGGTGGCCCCGCGCTGCCGCCAGCGAGCGAAATGACCCTCGAGTCCCAGAATAGAACCTCGCCAACCTCTCTGCTTTCTTCTCATCGGTGTTTCCTCCGCTGCAGCGAGCGCCCGTCTGGGAGATCACGGGCGCAGAGTTCTCCAAATCAGAAATGCACACCGCCGACGGCATCTCCATCCGCTTCCCCCGAATGACGCGTATCCGTGACGACAAGGACTGGAAGACGGCCACCAACTTGGACCAGCTCAAAGTAGGACATCAGCTTTCAATGAGATGTCACTTTGTGTGTGTGGTTCCCTTAAGCAGCCTCTCGTCTGACTGGTCATTCCATCACTGCGTAGGAGCTCTTCCGCATATCGAAGGAGAACTGTGACTTTAACGTGACGGCCGGACCGTCCACGATCAAGGAGGAGAAGAGCTCCTCTGGAGGAGACAGCGGGGGGAGCTCCCCGGCCCCCCCACCGCCCCGTGGACCTCCACCCAAGAAGACCAGTAAGCACATGGCCGGCGTGGCACTAGTTCCTTTTACAGTGAATCATTTAAAAAATATATATATTCAACACAATAGTCAAGATTCAGGATGTTCGCCTTTAATTTGACGTTGCCGTAGGAACCATAAAAACCTCACATTCACTGTGGTTTCACTTATTAATGCATACATTGTCGCCTGTTTAACCCGTTAGATTCAAGTACTATCACATCTAACAGTCAAAAGAGTTCAGTGTGTTTGATTTATTTTAATCAAGATGGTTCCATTTACAGTCAGCACCCCCAAAACCAAGGCGATAAAATCTGAGCCTCGCACTCCTGGCTCAGGCCCACCGAGCGCCAAGAAGGTATTTACTGCAACACACACACACACACACACACACAGCAACGTGCAGCAGCGTGTGAAGGAGTGTTCTGCTTCCCGTCAGGAGAAGAAGAGCGAAAGCGTCCAAAGTAACGGACGAACCCAACCGAAGGCCACGGCCGCGCTACTCGAGCCGAGGGCCGACAAGGTAACGATTAACCTTCCCACGAGCGCACGTTAACGTCAGCGCTGTGCAACGTTTGATCGACTCGCTGCCTGCAGACGCTGCTGGACGTCTTCAGCGGGGTGAAGCTCTTCCTGCCCGTCTCCGTGCAGGATTTCCACAAGCTGAGGAGGTACTTCGTGGCGTACGACGGCGACGTGGTGCAGGACTATGAAGTCGCCACGGCAACGCACACGCTGGCCGAGCCCGAAGACGACAGCCAGGCGGAGAGAGTGTCGCCCGACTGGATCTGGGAATGTATCCGCAAGAGGCGGATCGTGCCTCCCTGCTAACAATAAAGACGTCCGTTAACATGTTTCTGCGTGTGCGGAGAAAATTGGGCTGTGAATCATGAAATGCATCGTTTAATGTTTTGAACACACCATCATGAATAAACAACTCCCAACAATTTATAAGTGTTTGTCGTGGCTGTCGGTAGGATGCAACGCTTACTGTGAAGAGTCAGAGGTTCATAAGTCAACTAAAGTTAATCGTGGAGCATGTTGGGAATTAGTGGTTTGGATTTCAAGGAAAAACCTAATTAGCCTCTTCGTCCCCAGGCTGCTTCAAACTATGAGGGTTTAATTAAATGTGTTAATATACTGAAGGGGGGGGTTGCACACAGGGAAAGACCTTCGTGTACCTTTTGGGCAGAGATGCTCAACAGGCCTCATCTAGCGTTCTCTTTCCTGAGGGTCTTTCTTCAGAGCGACTCCACCAGCGCAGGTCGAACTCCTCCCTGATGTGACACGGCTGCGAGGCGGAGAGAACACTCATATTTCTGACTACATCATTTTAAAAACGCACGGCAGGGTCCACGTACCCGTCTGGACGACTTGATCAGCGTGGCGGCGCGGACGCTCGTGTGGCCGGCGGCGCCCTCCGCTCGCTCCAGCAGGACCCTGGTTCTGGGGACGGGACCCCAGGAGGCCCCGAGGCCCGGCTGCAGCTCCCCCCCGAGGCCCCTGGTGACGTGGTTTGTGACCTGCGCCCAAAGAGCAGCGAGCACGTCGTCTTCATCTTCAGATGACGCACTGCAAAGTCGTGTGAATGCATCGTCATGCTCACCAACGCCGCCACGTTGAAGTCCTTCGCCATCGTCTTAAGGACTCCCGCCACTTGCATCATCAAGGACATGCCTGCAGCCAGAGGGGCGAACAATGAGCGTTTTAAGCAAGAAGCATTTGAATGACTTTGATCCCTTCAAAAAGGGCTAAAATGTGACAGGCTTTTTGGTGTCATATCTTTGAGACCAGGTTGTTGAATGCAGACGAAAAATGATTGTGATGATTTTTTTTGAATTTCTACTTAATTCACCAACTACAAAATGATCTAATTAACTCTGCTGGTCCTCTTGTTATTTAATCTCCAATTTGTAGAAATATTGCAATGTTTGTGTGTCGAATGGACAAACAACGCTCATAAAGTACGTCGAGATGAACCACAAGGGTCTGAGAGGCAACAAACCCAGTTTTGTACACTGGTCATTTTACACGGTTTATCCTCTGAACGCGGCTACATTGAGTGATTGTTTAATTAGATTTCCACGTACCAACGTTTTGCAATAAAGTGGAATTGAGTTGATCTAGAACTCTCAAGAGGGCACGTTTAGGTTCAAGTTGTGATTATAACAGACACCAGAAATCTTACTTTAAATGTGACGGCTCGCGTCTGACACAGGTTCCCGTGTTATTTTCACACTCTCTCATGATTACGTGTCACGTCTGCAAAAGCCCTGCGATGTTTATCGTGTGTTTTTAAAGACGCCGCCTCGAGGCGGCGCCGCGCAGGAAGAGATATCACCTTCATTCTGTTTGCCTCCCAGCAGAGGAGCGATAACCGCCGACACCGAGTCCACGATCAGCGCCTTGACGGAGCCGCCGCCCGCCGCCGCCGCCGCCGCCTGGCCCCGCAATGTGACACAATTAGATTAGGGAGAATTTCATCAGTCTCCCTCGTGTGCGCGCACACACGCGTGTGTGTGTTCCCCAGGTAGATCGGGGCGTGTCTGCGTCTGTCAGAGGCAGAACCGACCTGCTGCAGGCCGCCGCCGCGGAGCTCGCACAGACAGTCGAGCAGGCAGAAGACGCTGAACAGGCGGAAGACGCGGACCCTCTGAAGAGCCTCCATCTGGGAAACAGGAAAGGACGGGTCACACCGCGCCCCACTGGCTCCGCCCCACTGGCTCCGCCCCACTGGCTCCACCCCCCCCCCCCCGCGTGAGCTCACCTGCTCCTCCACGCCGCTCGTCTCGGCTCGCAGCATCTGCAGCAGGCGACCGGCGCTGAGCCCGCCGGTCGTGTCGATGAAGACGACGCCCTGTTTGAGTCGGCAGGAAACGTGCACCGCCACGCCGAAACACACCTGGCGACAGGAGGAAGTGAGTGTGTGTGTGTGTGTGTGTGTGTGTGTGTGTGTGTGTGGGGGGGTTAAGGACAACACATGTGCGCATGTATTCGTTACAGGCCGTGGTGACAACGTGGGAAAGGCTCACCTGAGATTTGCCGCTTGCCGGCCCTCCACACAGCTCCGTTATCTCTCCGGTGTACAAGCCCGAATCCAGAAGTTTATCTAAGCTGCAGGACACAAAGGGGGGGGGGGGCAATTTATTACTCACAACCGCCCCCCCCTGTAATAAACAGGTCTGCTCAAGACGTTTGGGGAAAAGCATGTAAGTTGGAACCGAACGGAATGAAGTGAAATACAATACAAGTCTACTGGTTTTAATACATATTTACTGTTGATCAGGTGAACAGGTTTATTCAAACAGCTGTTCCCATGGCAACGCGTGTAGTTTAATCAACCTTCCTTCGGGATAATTCCACTGGACTCCTGCAGACGGATACGGTCTCTGTTCAGGTATTGCTGTGGCTTCTTTGCAGCTGCCGCGGTAAATCTTGCCATGCAGCCCTGATGGTTTACACACCACCTGCTCCACCTCGCTCCGTCTCTTTTACGTGCTCACACGGAAAAAGGTGCTTCGCTTTGGTTCTTCATGATTGAACTCTCCACATTTCATTTGGCTAAATTATTCAGGACGCTCCCGTACTTGAATGGCGAGGGATATTTAGTATAGGGTTAAACAAACGTTAACAATTAACAATTTAAGAAGTGATTTTTATACAGAGGGGTGTGCTTTAGGGCGGGGCTTACTGCGACTGACAGGTGTCTGTGTCATTGTTGTGCTAAAATCGTACCATTCAAGTCATGGAGTATATTTTGTTAGTCTTATTTAACGGGGGTTTCCAGTGACTGCGGCTGAATCTTATCACCCAAACATTTCTACGAGAAGTCTGTACACGGCGCCGTTACATCAATGCATCATTATACCATCAGGGCTCGACAAAAACATAACTTGGGCAACACGATACACGAGTCGACGACAGCAATAAACCTTTATCTGCGCTTATCGTGCACCGATAGCTTGACGAATCACCGCGGCAGCAGGAAATCTGATAAGCTTCATTTAGTTTTTTGTTACTTTCTTTCCGTTTATCTCTGAACGCCGCTCTCAGCATAACAACAGAGCGACTGCCATTCATCATTTGCTATTAAGGATTATACCGCATTTGTTTTTGTGCCGCCGGAGGCGTGATGATGATGTTCAAGGAGACGGCGGAATAATGGTTCAAGTACGATACGACGGTTGGTACATTAGAAAAAGGATTGTAGGCTGAACTAGAAAGAGATCTAAGCATGAACATCATATTAAATATATGGATTAATATTAGATAGAGTTCCAATAGTCTTTATTGCTCTCTGGGGACGCGACTCTCTCACACCGGCCAGATATCAACAGAGCAGGAGAGGAAATGCAAATGGGCGTAAGTCGTATTCCAAACAGGAGCCGTCGGGCTTCTGGCTTCATTTCATTCAGGCTGCGTTCCCTCAGAGAAAAAATAAAATCGTCACAGTTATCTGCTGTTATGATGAAAAATGTTTTCCTCCATCCAGCTCACTGATTCTGCTGCAGAGCAGCGGCGTCGTCTCTCCGTCTTCGCAGCCGATCAGCCGAGAAAAACTATTTTCACACTCAGCTGTAGGACACCGATCAGCCTGCATCTACAGACCACTTCACAAAGTACTTAAAACACCTGGCGGAGGCAGTTAGAGGTGCTGCTTCCACGCCAGCGTGACCGTTTCTGTTTAAAGCTACTGCTCAGGCTGCAGGCTGCGATATCAACATGTCGGCGTCCGTAAAACGCCGGCTGACCAAATTCACTTACGAATAAATATATAATGAAGAACACAATTAAACCAGCCCTCCTGGGGCGGCTGCTATGGCAACCGAAGCCATTTTCATCACAGGTGAGCATTTTTTATTTTTGTCCAGCTTCAAGTTTGTGGTTTCCAGACTGTTCATTAAGTAAATACAAAGACCACCACTTTCCAAAAAGTGCCAACATATTATACGTCACAGCTGTCGGGCAAGAGCCTTTGATTGACGGTTGAAAGTTGTGCGAGAGGCTTTGTGATGATTGTAATCCGCGGGGCGCCTCCCAGTTGATTTGGTATGCAACCGTCAGGCTGTGAAGGACGCGAGGACACGAGAACATTTCTCACCCTGCATAGAAACACAAACCCTCTGGAGTGTGCAAAGGGAGACCTTGGGGGGGGGGGAGCGAAGAGCATCGCTCACCAGTTCACCTGCTCGCCAGCAGAGCGCAGCCGAGGCCCGCTCACACATCGCGGATCCAAACCACCAAAAAACACTACAAAAAGGAGCCACACAGAGTAAAAAAAACCACACCAGTGGTCTTTAATTACGCCGCAACAGTGAGTTCTTCATGGAGAAAAGGGAAATGACGCCGCGCAGAAGGAATACGTCTTCTCTTGGGAAGGTGGAGGGTTTATCAGCTGCAGATGACGGAGGTAAGAACACATGTCAACGCCACACCCTTCAAGTCATCACGTTTCTACGTGAAGACGGGACGCCAAAATGTTTTACCGGGATATTTATTTTTGTGCATTGAATGTAGTAAAAGCCACTTTGAGGAGGAATCTGGTCGCAGAGCGGCTTCATACTATTGATCTGAACAGAAAAACATCGGCACAATCACGACTTTGTCACGTATGAGGGGAGCGAAGCTTCGACAACGGCCGCAGAAGCACAAAAGAACGAGGTGCCGCAGAGCCGCTCTTCTGTCTGCATCAACTGCGTCATGCAATCTTTCCCAAGCCACTAAATGCAGCCGCTACTGCGATTAATGAACTACTGTAATCTGACATATAATCAGGAGCCACTGAAGGCTTAAAATAATCACCACCTAAAGTAAAACACCTATAAACTGGACAGCGAGGAAATGCATTTTCATTAAATATGTAAACAGGAATTCGGCCTTTTGGCGGAGAATCGTGGTTTAAATCCTCCAGACGAGGCGCCGTGTCGTCTTACCCGGGGTTTCCAGTGGACACGATGGCCGTGGAGCTCAGGAGTTCTTCGTACAAATCGGCGCCCGACACGGGGAACGCCGTGTGTTGGGCCAGCAGCACCCGGCGGATGGCAAACAGGGCCTGAAATATAGAACGGCGTGTTCAAGGATGTTTTACTGCTATTTTTAAAAGAGCCGATTCTCGCCACATAGAACTTTCCTCAGGCAAATAGAGAGCTTCGCACCAGATCACATACCTTTTGCTTCATATATTTAATAGGAACGTAAGCAAGATGGAACAAAAGAGCATTAGTCCGTGTGGTCTGCAGGTAACGATTGACTGGAGAGGTTTCCACACTATTTGCTGTTATCTCAGTAGACACAGGGGGGGGGGATCAGCCCCGGCCCACATTGGTATTAGTCTCTCTTCTGCTGACAATCCGTGTCCAACTGCAGAAATGTCTTTTGGGAGAAACAAGGCGAATCGGTGGCGTCTCGATTGGCGGCAAAAACATTTTTTGTTTCCCCAATTTGGGCTCACACGACGGGAGTGTTTCTCCACGCGGAGCGCGACCGTCTCGAGCGAGTCCAGCACGGACACGCGTGGGGCGGGTGACCTCGCATCGACCTCCCCGTGACACGTGCAAGTGTGTGTGTGCGCGCACAGCAACGGTTCAGATCTACAGAGGGTGATGGACGAGCGGATGCGGCCTATCGGACGCCTGCAAGCTGAACGCGCGGCAGGCGGACGAGAGGAATGTTTGCAATCATCTCCATGAGAGATGGGCGGGGGCCGGGGGGGCCGGGGTGGGTCAATGCAAGTCAATGGGCCGTATACAGTCACAGATGAGCAAACCTCAGCGCAGTGATAAAAGTACTGACACACTTTTCCTCTACATGGTCAGACAGCACTTAACGACGCTCTCACTCATCGTCCCACCAAGAAAGCTGGGGTTTGACCTCCGAACCCTGTCCACCCACACAATTATTCACAGATCTGTGAGGCCCTCCTGGGTCACTTCCCTTAATCACTGCACTCTCACATCTCTGAGAAACGTTGGGTGAAAAACACTAGTTATCTTTCCGTTATCTTTAAGGTCAGAAATGTTAGGCGGGATTTCTTTCTTCGCTCTCTCGCTCGCTGGTTCTCACAGTGAAACTTCTCCTCGTGGCTTCAAGCTGATCACTGCTCACCCAGCGAGACTTTTATTCATTTATTTTAAATAGACTCTCCTGATCCCAGGTGTTTACTCCTTATTATACAGGTACAAGAAATCTCCAAAGATATTTCTTTCACTAAACAGACGCCTTGAACTATTTGAGCCGTGCGACTTTAATCTCAGAATCCACTTTACTGGTCTACATTAAATCCAATGAATTATAAATCGCATCTACCTCAATATACCGATATAGAGACGAAGGACGCGGTCGCCAACGCTGGACTAATGAAAGTAAAGACAGACAGGATGGTTACGTGGGTAAGTTCTGAGAAAAAAGGGGACGTATTATTCATTTATCTGCAGGAAACACTAGTGTAGAAGTAAATAAAAAAGGTACAAAAAAGGAAAGGAAAGCCAACGTGACCCTTGACCCGAGTGCACGAGCCTCTGGGACGTGTGCTCACATCACTTCATTATAGCTCCATAACGTGTGCAGCGTGTGGGTGAAACTCGACCAAGGATCAACTCGCCGTGGTCAGAGATACGCAGCCGGCTCTGCTGATGCCAAGAACGGAGTGTGGGTGGCTTCACGTTTCCAAAAGAGAAAATATAAAAAACACCGCTCTGATTTAGTGGGTGTAATGATATATTCATATACATAAATGAATATAACAAGTAAGTGTAAAATAAATAATACTGACCGCAGAGCAAGATAGTGATATGTGTAAAAAGGAATAGACTTTTGATTTTTATTAGAGTAATAATAATTATAAACACAAGTATCCAATGAAAACTAAAATAGAAAGAATTGTCAATGATATTGAGACATCAGTTGAAATGTAATAGTGCCCATGGTGTGATTATTACTGTGGTCGTGGGTCGCTGTCCAGGCAACTGCACGCGCACACACACACACACACACACACACACACGCACGCACACACACGCACGCACACGCACACGCACACACACACACGCTGTTTATCCACAGATGAATAAATACCTTATACGACACGTTGCATCTCTGAGCGAGCTCCTCGGTGTCGGAGGACACCACGTCCTCCACTGCGGGAACAACGAAGCACGTTATTGTCCTTCCTCTGAATGAACACGAAGCCTCCTCCAATAAAACAACTCACCTGTTTTAATACCGGCAGCGCGCAGGTCACCAACTAAACCCTCATCCAGGCCAGGACACATCCCCGCCCTTAAAACCACCATGTTGCCTCTCCAGCCGCTCGCACAAAATAGTAACTTTTAAATATTTGCGCTTAAGGGGGAAGAAGGAAGCGGATTGGCTAACGTTAGCTAGCTTAACAAGATGCTAACGTTACGTACGGTTGTTTGTAGCTTTCTGGCTACGTCGAATTGACGATATAATGTGAGCGAGTTTGGGCGTTTGGGAGGCTAATAAATTACTTTCTCTAAATTACGCGACGTTAAAACTTATTTACTTTTGTCAAACTGACGCTTTTCTTTAACTTTTCAACGTGTTTCACTCGCGCCACGGCAGCAATCAATACGCGAACCTTTTCTCCCAACCGCTTGCCGTAGTAAATTAGTCTCGCAATGCATTTAGGGTAATGTAGTGCGTATGTGCACCAAAGTGTCTAAATTCCCGTCTAAATGTTTGTAACTCACTTTATTTAGTTGCAAATTTGTATGTCTTCAATTCAATTCAGAAAAATTCTAATAATCACAAAAATGGGCCACAACAAACAAAGGATGCCATGTGTGTAGAAATATACAGAATATCAACTAAATACATGCAGAATGAAATCAGTATGAAGATGACATAACTTTGAGAAACAAGTTACCCAAAAAGGTGTCATTGTATATGACCTGTTCAGTTCAAACTAGCCATCCAGTAGGTTTTTGGGCTTCATATCTGAAAGAGTTTCCTTTTCACAGACTCCCTGAAACAGACCCGGTCCCTTGCTGTGGTATTGGCATCCCAGTCATCAATAAAAAGGATTTTTGGTTCCACCGCGTCCCTTCTGCAAAAATCAGTGGAGGTGTGGAAGTGGTAGTGGCACTCTGGACACTGAAGACGCTTATTTTAAAAGAGACGTCTCACTAAAATCAAACCCTCTTACACACTGATCCTCACCACTCTTTCGGTGCTCCCTGGTTCTATTTGGAGTTCTTCTGTCCACAGTACCTTTTAAACTAAAGTGTCTCTAGAGCCACACTGAATCCTACTAGCAATCTGTTTTTATTCACTTATCAATTCTCTTATAATCTCCTTTTATTGTTATTGATGTATATATATATATGTATATATAACAAGCTGACACTATGTTTATCATTGACGCCGTCTGCACATGGTTCTTTGCTTCTCTGCTTCTGCTGCCAAATGCAAAATAAATGTAAAATGAGAATTTTTGACTATTTCTTGCGCTGCAGCTTCACGATTGCTACATTAAGAAGATTTGCTTTGCCAAAAAACAATCCAAAATAACCTCCTGAGTGGGAGAATCACGTCAATGCGGATAAAAAAGGTTCAGGTGAGTCATCGTTTCACCCCGTTGTCATAAGGGAGACGGGCCTGTGGGGACGAACCGTTTTTGTGTCCTCTGGTTCTGGTGGTTTTCCCGTCGTGGGACGATGGTTTGATGATGTGCAGATGACGATGTGTTTTTTTTATTTCTTTTTCACCAGGTTCAGGGATGAAGGTGTTTCTTGGTGGGAAACAGTAATTCTGACGGAAAACATCCCAGACTCTCTTCAGGTGGGTAATGTGTTCAGAAAGTGGGGAGGCAGCAGCATCTCGCCTCTACTTCCACCATCTCCAGTGGCTACTGATTAATAATGCATACGAAAACAAAAACTTCAAATGGCTCCATCACTTGATGTAGCGACGCTCCCACAAAAGCAGATTCAGAACCCTGCGAGTCGTCAACACGTGGACCTGCAGAGGAACAATAGCTCAGTCACGTTTTTTAAAACATGTTGCCAGAGTCATCCTCCCTCCGCTCCAGACGAATGGGCGAGTCCAGATGTGTGAGACGGAGATGATGATGATACGAGGGAATTCGCTCTTGAGGGAACGTTCGACTTTGAGTTGAAATCACAGTAACGTACAGGTCCTATTTGTGGCGGGAGGGCAAAGCTTCTGCTGAAGCAGCCTCTCGAACAGAGCGGAGACTTGCAGCCGTTTCTTCCTGTGGGTTTGTTCTCTGCTTCCAACGACTGAGTGGAAGTCAGAATCCAGATGCTTCACAAAGCCGCATGATGCTTCACAGCCGGTGAGCCGCTTCAGGTGCACACATCTGTTTTCATCACGGCGGAGGACAAGAAGAAACTAAAAGAAACAGGAAAGGCTCGACATGAAGCATCGTGATAAGACGTAATTTTTTTTTTACACACAAAATATGGAGTTCAGCACAAAATTCTGCTTCCCATCACTCGTCTCTTCGGACGGTCCTCGTCTCACGAGTCCAGTTTCGGGAGAACTGTTTTCCTCCTTTCACATTGATTGTTTCCGCATCGCCATGGCAACACGACGGCACATCGGCCCCTGCAGGCTTCATTCAAGCCATCGAGCCTAAATGTTTTAAAAACCTTTAAAACGTTAAAACAATCACTTCTGTTGCGTAACCAGAATGCTTGTGTCATTCCAATGATTCAAAGTGCAGAGTGGAGCTGGCGTCAAATGAACAGGTGGATGCAGGGAGGACTTCACCTTCGGGGGAAGATTTATTATGTCGAACATAATGGATGTTTAGCATTCGCAGGCCAGTAAAGATCCTCTTTAACAAGCAGATAGTGTGCATTATCTGATGATGGTGATCAATAATGAATTCAATTTACTACTGCTGAAGTGATTCATGGTGATCCAAAGAGTGATGGATGTGGTTGACGGCGTTCGATCACCTCAGCTCCCGCAGCACGAAGACGCTCGGTGATCAATGAGAGACGATGTTCGTGTTCCAACGTCCCGCTCGTTGGCTTTGTTTTAATCACCAGCTTTGTTAACACGTTGAGAGCGGCTGAAAAGAAACGAACAATCATGACAGTTTGATGACACTTAGGAAGATGGAGAATTACATAATGCTTTTGGGCTTAAAAGAGGTTTAATTTTTTTCCTGTTGCACTGAAAAAAAACCCTAGTGAAGAACAGCTGGATTATCTTCAAACGGCACAGAGCTTTCTCATTACAGCAGCCGTATTATTGTTATTCATTTATTTGGAAGGGACCAATGCGCTTTGTCCAATTTCCAGTAGCCGTCCCTCAAAGGGCCTTTAAAAAATTAACGTGTAACCCAACACATTCACTCTCTGTCCCTGAAAACATCAAATAAAGCCAGAAATCTGGGGGTTATTATGGATTCAGATTTACACTCGGAGAGTCACATCAAATCAGTAACAGAATCGGCCTACTACCACCTCAAAAATGTAGCACGACTTAGAGGGCTCATGTCAGCTCAAGACTTAGAAACACTTGTACTGCCTTTATAACTAGTAGGCTAGACTATTGTAATGGTCTCCTTGCAGGTCTTCCAAAAAAAACTGTCAGGCAGCTCCAGCTGGTTCAGAACGCTGCTGCTAGAGTTCTAACAAAGACCAAAACATGTGAGCACATTACACCAATTCTTAAATCCTTACATTGGCTCCCAGTATGTCAGAGAATTAATTTCAAAATCCTACTGCTCACATATAAATCACTACATGGTTTAGGGCCAAAGTACATCACTGATATGCTTCCACTACATAAGCCTTCAAGATCACTAAGATCTTCTGACACCAATCTGTTAGTGATTCCCAGAGTAAATACAAAGCATGGGAAAGCATCATTTAGTTTAAAACAAGACTGAAAACTTTTATGTTCAGCTTCGCCTTCTGCTAAATTTTACCTACATTGCACTTTTAACCTCTGCTTTTAATTAAACAATTTAAATAAGATTTTAATTTATAATTTTATTTGCTGTTTTTAATAGTCTTTTAATTCCTGCATTTTATTTCACTTTATTGTATGAAATGTTATGATGTGAAGCACTTTGAGTCTGCCTTGTGTATGAAAAGCGCTATACAAATAAAATTGCCTTGCATTGCCTTAAAAACACATGTAAAGTTAAAGGAATATTTAGTTGTGTTATTGTATTATAAGCTATTCAAATTTGATTTGTTAATTTTTTATGCCTACAAGACCGTTTTTCCAGTTCCGGCCAAAACAGTTGTGATATGATTTTTTCTTTTTTTTACTATTCCAACAACCTCATTCCCGGCACAGTCCGGAGGGCGAATCAATACCACTCATATTGAATTGATTTGTCAAATCGGCTACATGCAACCAACATTTTCCCCCCGTAACACACGTGAATGTGCCCCCCGGAGACAGTCGATAACCCTCATCGGGGAGCATTCACCCGCTCACGAGGGGGGAAGAGGGGACCCAATGAGCACGTTACCGAGCACGTAGAGCAGAGTTCCACGTTACATCGTTCTGACGGCTGAGACAATTTGTTGGAGCCCGTCGCATGAATCATGCAGGGAGAATGAATAATAAAAAGCCTCCTCTGTAACACGACGGCTTCATACACAGCAATGATTCATCCTGTTGGTGTGAGGGTAAAAAAGTAAATCACATTAGACCGAGGGCACGTAATACACCTTAATACCACCCGCTGTTGACATTTACTGGTTGCTCTGAAAAGCAAATCAGAATACGAGGAGGAAAAATTCATTATTGATATTTTTTTAATTGGCTCATCATCTTCTCTCGCAAATAAACAGCTCGCAGCGGGTTCTTTAACTGCAGAGGCTCAGGATCTTTTCCCTGTGAAAAAAAATAACCACTTTGACTCACAACAGCTGAGCTACAGATGTGTATAATTACTCATGAAATGCTAAACCTCATTGCCTCTGCGTAGCTGAACAAAGGATTACCCAATAAATCACGAACTGCTACGTTTCTAGGACGCGGTTTCGCTGTCGACCTGAAGCCTTCGCCCGAGTAAAATGTGCATCCAACTGTTCTGATCCTTCAAGAGCTCGGCGCGACGTCTGGACGCGGCGCTGCCGCGTATGTCCAGGAGGGGAATGCTTCTTGTGTCGCCTGCGTGTAACTGGATAAATCAAAGAAAACAGAAAGGAAGCGAATGGCACACGCCGCGTGCATTTAAATAAAGAGGTGGGTTTGTTGGTGGTGAGGTGAGGTGAGGTTCACATTGGCTTTCTTTGCCTTGAAGGTCAAACTCTTGCTGATGATTAAGTCGGACAAGTTGGCTGGAAGAAGAGAAGAGAGCTCGGGGTTATCGCCCCGTGCAGAAGGGATGCTGCCGATGGACCCTGACAACATGTTGACTCCCACAGAGCCTGTAAACCCCAGACTGTGTGTGTGTGTGTGTGTGTGCGTGTGTGTTAAGTTCACCTGAATGCAACCTCACTCTACTTGCGTTGTTGTATCCGTGGCTTTAAAGTGAACCGTGGATGAAACACAGCCGGAGTGGCTCAACACAAATAAAAATAAAATCCCGCTCAGACGATCAAAACAGGTCACCTCCGGCATCGGCGGTTTACTTGTGATAACGCCTCGTTCACGGTCCACGGCGCCGAGTGGGCGACGGTCGGGTCGAGACGATGCCACGAGCCCGTCTCCGACATCAAAGCCGACTAAAGACACATTTCCACCGTCTGAGGGACACGTTTGCATGTCATTACACGCAGATCTTCCAGTCACGAATGTTTTTAAAAACATCCCTTTCTGCCACCAGGGAAGGGAACTGAGAAAGCGTCCTCCCAGTTCGGACTGCAGGCCCCTTCCACATCAGGACAAGAGGACATCCATTGTCCAATAATCGCCTTTGATTGTTGGGCGTGTTGCTAACAGACAGAACGCATTTAAGTCGGCGGGAGAAAACAATTCTTCACACATCGACCTCGTTCAGGGAACAAAGGCCGCGTGCAGCAAGTGGACGTCGTCATGGTGACGTAAATACCCCCCCAATGAAGTCCACAAACACACAAACGTCTCCTAATCGACCCGCGACCCATTCAAAACAAGGCGCCCAGCCCACAGCGTCTCCGACGTCAACGTCCCACCAGGAATGGACACAAGGGACAGAAGGGTCGCTTCAATTTGTTCTTATTTTTGTGTTCATTCGTGAAGATTATCTTCCTGAACCGTTGATGTGATGTTCATTTAAATTTCAGTTTTTTTTTGGAGTCAAATAGACAATAAAAGTAGTTCTTTTGTGATGTAAAAAGCAGATAAAGAACTTTTCCAGGCTTTCGTGGGCCAAGGTGGAAGAGCAGACCTGCTTACACCTTGAGCCCCTGTGAAACTTTAAACTGCCGTCTCGCCCTCCGTGATGAATAGTGGCTTCGTTGTCTTTGCTTGTAAAAAAAAAAACCCATCTTGCCTCAGAAAACAGAAAAGCGTCCAGATCGATTTATTTTAAAAGCCATAGAGGACACTAAAAGCTGCACTGCTGTCCCCCAGCTATTTGAGGACATTATTTAGTATTTAAAACAAGATGAGAATGTTGGAAAGACTTTAGTGGGACACACACCCGACATGTAAATGTCAATATGAGATATGCATAACGCTGCCATTCCTACGCTTGCAAGGGATCAGTGGTGCTCATCATTAAATGGCGGTTCGATCTTCTCCAACAACAAAGTTCCACTTTCCCTCAACTCATCCGTCCGCTTCCGTCTCAGTGATTCCTCATCTCGTCTCTCCGGAGGAGGGACACACGGGGGGGGAAGTGTTCATGTGTGAAGAGCAGAAACAGACAGCACAGCTGGAGCACGAGTCTCGAACCAGTCACATGAAGAGCCGCGGCCCTCGCCAAAAAGACGCGACATTGCCTCGTCTCGGCGTTGCATTGTGGTCTACGGAGGCGGCTGTCAGCGTGGAGCTGTTATCTCTGCCTCCGCCAGATGGATTTCTCCCGGCGTGATCGCTGAATGCCTGTGAAAGGAGTTCGACTGGAAAAGCAGCCTCTCCTCTTTGATTCGGAGGGGCTGACGCCGAGCCCTGACATTTACTGTTGATGTTATATATAGTTGGAGATATTTCTGCTGTCAGGCTTCATTGTAGCTGCTCTGGAAATATCTCCACACGAGATCACAGTCTCCATGGCTGTGCTCTGTTATCCGCGGAAAAAGAAAAGAACGTCACATGAAATGGAAGCAGATTTGCAGGAAACATCAGCTGCTTTGGGGTTTTTGTTTTTTTCTCCCCCCCCCTATTTGGTTTTGGCATTTCACGTACAAAATGGACGGAAATGGATGAAAGTGTCAGCTGCATGACCTGTGATGTGTGACCCTTGTTGCAGGTTATAAGGCGTAGCTGCGATCACAGACGCGCTGTTTGAAATCACCACCGAGGCGGAATTTTATGCCGCTGACACGCGGCATCAGAACAGCAATCCGTTAAACCAGAAGCAGTCCTGTTATCACCGGAGGTGCACTCACGCGCTTTGTCTGAGCGTCGAATAAATGAAGTTCGCCGAGATGGATAAACACCAGGGTGACGCGGCTGCATGTGGCTTCCGAGGAAGGCAGATGCCCCCCCCCTGCGGAGCGGCGTGGCCCGCGGAATCCTGCATTCAGCCCCGTGAACGTCAGCGGCAGGCGCTCACTACCTTAAGCTGGAGGCCGGACGGGTTATTTATCTCACTATTAAACCTCCAGTTGGTTGAGATAATTGTTTTTTTTGTATTATACGTTTTATGGAAATGTTTGTTAAAATATGCAAAGGAAGCATCACCTTATTATGTATGCGGTATTTCCAGAATAAACAGAAACTTTTCAGTAAAACCGAACGTGGCCTCAGTAATGACGCCTCACTTTCCCAACTTTCTGCATTCTCCTGTTTCCAAACTGCCGTATTACAAAAACCTCTCAGCCATCAGCTGTGAGCGTCCGCCTCCTCGGTCCCACAAACCCAATAAATCTGTCCTAATGACCCGTGCGGCTCACCTGAGTTCAAACGGCTTTGATCTCGCTGCCCAGATGAAGTGGACTGGGGGAGTAAACACTTCAAGGCGAGCTGCCGCCGCCGCCGCCGGTATGGATTTTGTGCACGAGGGCTGCTGGATGAGTGGATTGGTGGTACGCTACTCGCCATCGCTCAGCGGGGTCCGCGCGCTGCCGCAGGAGTTAGTGTGTGTGGGAGGGGGTGCACCGACTACAAACACCGGGGGGGACTCTGGGTTTTTCTCGTGCTCTTCGTTTTTCAGTAAGTAAACATAGTGGCAGAAACAAGAAAACAACCTGAAACTTCATCTCTTGCTGCTGCCCCATTGCCTCCTCGGGCTCTCAACATGGCCGCAGCTTAGCTCACAGCTAACCGCAGAGCGGGAGAGCGTTAGCTTAGCTGCTAGCAGCGCTCTGAATCCCTCATATTGCACCTTTGAAATTAAACAGTCGGATGTTTTCAACCTGTCGTCTTTTCTAAATGTCATATTTAAAGTTGTGTCAATGTTTAAATAGTTCTAACAATGACTCACATGGACTGCATGAATCCGACGGGTCGGAGGTTGAGTTCTCAGGTGAAGTTGAATTGCTGTGAAAGAGAATCCTTGACTTATTGTCGACATCACAATGCCGCACGTAACTAATAAACTGCGTAAATATGACACAATGTCCTTTTGTGTATTGCATTTTCTTTAGTATTTTACATATAACAGGAAAATACAAGGGTTTATTTTCAGAGAATACAGGAAATTTAACAGTGCTCTGTACATTAACATATTATTGTTGTGGTAACTTGGCACAGCCGACTGAGCCGTGCACGTCGTGCACAGTTTCCCATTGGGGGGGTCGGGGGGGGGTGGGGGGGCAGTAAGGGTACAATTCAAAAAGTTCAGTTACATGTCGTAAAAACACTAAGTTTCTATTAGCAGCTTGAATAAAATACAAAATGAGCAATATGTGCACCACACCGTCACCAAAGCAGCAGCACAAAAGATACTTTAAATGCACAAGGAGGAGAAGTGGGATGTCAAATGAAGTGAAAAACTGTTTTTTTGAGACGTGGGCGACATATTTACACAGTGTCAGTAAATCAACGGGAAAAAGAGAAACCCATCAAAACAGTGCGTGAAGCTGCTATTAGATACTTAATCTGCCGTGGTGTCACCAGATTGGGTTCACCACGTTACCGCAGGACAGCCAGGTTTAGTTCTTAATCCTACATTCATCCTGAGAAAGCCATCATTTAAAGTCAAACCGTAAGCTGCTGCTGCTGCTGCTGCTGCAGCTCCGGATTCCAGGAGGACCGTGAAGAATAACGTCTAGTCATGTCGTTAGATGTTAACGCGGATTGAATATTATTAAACGGGAGAATCGTGTCACTGTTCATTTCACCACGGGGGAACAAAGGGAGGGCATGCAGCAAAACAAATCCTTAAAGCCCCAATCCAGGACTGATTCTCTGTGCAGGCAGAATATTCCCCTGTGAGTGACACAAGGACCAGGTGATGGACGAGGAGACGAGGAAACGCGTCTTTACATTAAATGTTAAGAGGCTTTTTTGTCAAATATAGTGCTGTTTTTTTGGCCTCAAGGAGAACGATCCTGGGTTGGTTCTTTAATTTGTTTCGAGGTGAATGACAAATCAGTAAGGATGTTGATAACATCTGACAGCTGTGAGTGATGTTTAGAGCGTACGGTCATTGTCCCCAGAGGGAGCCAGTTAGGATCCTCACAGTCGGTCCCTCGGCGTGAAAGAACAAATCGCGGCCCTCAAATGCAGTTCGGCGTTAAACGAAAGTGACACAGAAGCTGATCTCTAATCACACGGTCGCTTCATGAAAATAACACCCGAGTCATCTCTACTCGTCGATTAAAAACGCCCCCGGCTCTGCGCCCCTCCGGCCCTCACTTAGCGCCTCTCTGTCTGCCTGGCGGTGTCCGGTGAGAATCCCCCCGCAGATGTTCTATTGTCTTTGTGAAGCCGCCAGGTATTCGCCCTTTCTGCCTTAGCGTCTTAAAACCCCCCCCAAATAACCCGCTGCCTCGCTGTGCTGTTTATCGCTGGCTGTGATTCGTCCATCATCCCCCCCCTTTATCCCGTCCAGAAGATACAGACCCCCCCTGTCTGGCACCCCCAGATGTGTGTTTATTGGTATGGTTTATACACAAATAGAGACAACACATTATATATATATATATATATATATATATATATATATATATATATATATATATATATATATATATATATATATATATATATATATATATATATTGGTAAAACAAGAAGAAAACATGGGATGATTTAAAAGATGGAAAGCCAATAATTTATTCGGCGACGCCCTCTTCGTCAGTGCGAATGTTCCCAACTGGCACGTTTTAAGTTTCAAAGTGTCCCAAAGAGCAACCGAAATATTATCACCAAAGGATACGATCTGTCGCGACCGGCCGCCGCGCGGCAAACGTCCCCGCGTCCAAACAGTCAAATGTGACGCCCCCCCCAAAAAAAAGCTACAGTTCTGCCGACAGTTGGGTTGCCGAGGGTAACCGTCTCCTCGCCGAAGGAGATGGGAGGCTGCGAGAGCGCTTCCCTTTGATACGCTATGTACACACACTGGGGAGGGACGGCTGCATGTATGTGGGCCTGACACGGCATGCTCGGAACGCCTGATAACATGTTCATTTGAAGCCATGTGTAAAGCGTGGTTATATAATTACGATTACAAACATTTACAAATTTTGGGAAAAGAAAGAGTAGTTTGTGCCTGAAGATCCCCTCCCATGCAAAGAACCTTCTGATCCAGGAGCTCTTTCAGCCGCCGCCGGAGATCAGAGTTCTTTACTTCCCACCTCGGTGAGAAGACAGGGTGTCTGCGCTGATATAAGAAGTGACCTGTGACCATTTTATAAGGCATCGGAGGAGGAGCCGCTGCTGTTTGACTACCTATGAAATGTAGAAAAATGCAAGGAATGAACATGAGTACAAATCATGAGAACAACAATGAAAAAAGGTTTCGCCATGAAAAGAACACTTTCTACTTTGGCAAAAAAAACGAGATGATTATTTTTTTAAACGTAGCTTTCGCCAGAGTCTTTGACAGTTTTTTGTTCGTCAAAGGCATCTTTGTTCGGAGTAGGTACAGTACTTCAGAGTCCCGCCCGAAAACGCCTCCGCGCTCCAGTCCACATTCGGGCTTCCTCCAAAACCCCCGGTGGTGAAAACGAGAGGAGCGGCACCTCCGTCCGGCCGTGGCTCAGACCGCTCAGTGAAGCAGGTTTCCTTCAAGCCAACACGCACAGGTTCCTCCGGGTGAGTGAGATCCTCCTCCCCCCCCGGTCGAGTCTTTGGCTTTCTTGCATTCGCCGCCGCGTGAGCGTGTGTGGGATCACAGCGGCTGTGCAAACTAAATGGAACACAGCCTAAACCGAAACAACAATCGGCCCGTTAGTCCGTGGGGGGGGGGGGGGGGGGGGGGGAAAAAAACAAGAAGATGCATCACGACAGTTAAAGCGCATCACATTAAAAACATATGGAGGGCTTGAGGCTGACACATGTCTAGCCCCTTAAATGTCTGCTAAGTGCTGGAGAATCACTGTCTTAATGATTTGTGTCTTAACATGTGCTTATTCTGGTTCTAGTTTGGTATCCCAGCTGTTTTTCTTTTAGGTTTTCTCCACTTCATCAGCTCTGTATCACACCAGATTAAATTGAGCGGAACATGGTTTATAGCTTTGTTCTCATTGACATGCAAAGAGGATCCCGTCCTTGATTATAGCGCAATCTGAAAATTGGAACTAATTCATTAGTGTCTATGTGTCATAATCTATCGAGAAGTGTGTCAGTCAGGTTGACGAGTGTACGTACGTTAAAACTCTCGTACGTACGTCGTCAGTCAGTCCCAAATGGATCAGTGTCATCACGTCTAGTCGAGATTACTAAAGTGTCACCATTTCATCAGAGGCGCGGAAAACTCGGTTTTCGGTTCTCCCGAA